CTTCAAAGCAATATAATGGGGAATCATGATTACCACATACTTTTATGTATTCTTACCATTTCATATACTAGGGAACTATTTGGTATTTATACCTGTGAGTTTGATTTATTTCACTTCTGAGTGTGGTGTCAAGCTATGCCCACTTATTTATAAATATTTCAATGTGATCATTCTTTATAGCTGAGTAGTACTCCATTGCATAAAAATACCACAACTTTTTTAACCATTCCTTAGTAGATGGACACTTAGGTTATTTCCAAGATCTGGCTATTACAAATTGTGCTGCTCTATACATGGGTGCACATATATCACTGTGGTATGATGTTTTCAGTTTTTCTGGGAATATGCCTAAAATGGAATATCTGGAACAAATGGACTTCCGATCCCAGCTTTTTGAGAAATCTCCAAACTGACCTCCACAATGGTTGCACCAGTCTGCACTTCCAGCAACAGTGCATCAGAGTCTGCTGTGATTCTGGTAGGTTTTCCTTTATAGGTGGTCTGTCTTTCCTTTCTGACAGCTTTTAATATTCTATCCTTATGTTGGATTTCTGGGATGGTGATTATTATATGTCTGGGTGTAGTTTTATTTTGGTTATGACTATTTGGAGTTCTATACGCTTCCCTCATCCTGATGTCAGTTTCCATTTTCATGTCTGGGAAATTTTCAGCTATTACTTCTCTAAATGTCCTCTTGACATCCTTTATGTTGTCCCTTTCTTTTTCATTTATCCCTATCAATAATATATTGTTTTTCTTTGCATCATCTTGCAGCTGTCGAATTGTTATTTCCTGATTTTTTGTTATTTTTAAAAGATCTTTCCTTTCTTGTTCACTAGCTGCAATCTTGTCTTTGAGGTCTGAAACTGTATCTTCACTTTCCTTGAGGCAGTTTTTACAACTTTCAATGGAATTTTTGATTTCCTGTATATGTCTTTACATCTGCTTTACGCATTCTGTTAGTTTCTTATGTTGTTCATCTGGGGATTCTACCTTTTTTTTTAGTTCCTCCAATTTTCTGTCTTCTTTAGAGATGTTCAGTATCTCTTTTGTTTGTTTTATCATTTCTTCTTTTACCCGGGAGATTATTTCTAGTTTGAATTCCTTTTAAGCTTTGGGGAGTTGCTTCTTTATTTCAGTTGCTATTATTTCAGGTGTATGGCATATATTTTCTTCTATGTACATAGCTTCTAAGTTTTCTTAGCATGGGCTGGAGATTTGAGCTTGCATTTTGGTCTTTTACTTTGTTATTTTCCTATATTTCTGTGTTTCAAGTGTTGTTCCACGGCTTCCTCTGGGTGTGTTAGAAATCATCTCTTGTGTCCTAGGCTTCTGGGACTGAATGGAGGTTGCTGAGCATGGTCCAGTTAGGCCCTCAGGCCCTCTGTGCCACCTTCAGTGTTCTAGGTAGCTGGCCTGGGATCTCACTACTGTGGATGATGAGCTAAAGCTCTCCCTGGGCGAAGACCAATGCCCTGGAATTCACTTAACCTACTCTCCAATCCCATAATTGAAGAAGGTCACTGGGTGTAATTTAGTTGGTCCATAAAACTTCCCAAGCGAGGCTAGTGTGCCTGGGCTCTTGAAGGGTCCTTGAGATCTAGAAAATATGATGTTAAAGTCTCCTCGGTGCTTGGGGTGAAGGTCAGACTTACCCCAGCCACCAGCTGAGTTTCCTGGTTTGGGAGAAGGTCATTGGGCATGTCCTGGGCAAGCCTGAAACCTATCAAGTGCAGCCTAGTGTGGCTGGGTTCTGGGCGCATCCTTGGGCTCCAGAAGAGATGATCTTAAAGTCTCCCAGGGTTTGGGGTAGGATAGTGTCTTTAATAAATGGTGCTGGAAAAGTTGGCTTTCCAAATGCCAAAGACGAAACCAAACCAATGTCTATCACCATGCACTAAACCAAAGTCAAAGTGGATCAAAGATCTAAATATTAACTTAGAAATACTAAACCTACTGGAAGAAAAGGAGATAGAAATCTTGGAGACATAAGGGCAGACATACAATTCATAAGGAAAATGCAAACCGCACAGGAAGTACTTCAAAGAATCAACAACTGGGATCTCATTTTATTAAAAAGCTTTTGCACTTCAAGAGAAATCACCAACAAAGTGAAATGAAAACCTGCAGAATGGGAAGAACTTTAGCCAGCAGCCTCTCAGACAAAGGACTTATATCAGAACATATAATGAAAAACATCAAGCCCCTCCACCCAATTCAAAGACCCTCTCCAAAAATGGGCATGTGAGATGAACACACATTTCTCAGATGAAGAAATACAAATGGCAAATAAATACATGAAGAAATGTTCACCATCACTGGTCATTTGAGAAATACAAATTAAAACAGCATAGAGATTTTGTTTCACTCCGGAAAAAATGGCTGCCATAAAAAAACCAACTAATAACAAATGATGACGAGCAGTTGCCTAGCACGCATGAGGCTTTGAGTTCCTTTTCTAGCACCTCAAAATAAATCTTTTGGGCTATCGGGATAGAAGGAATGTGTTGCACCTGTGAGAAGGATGTGAAGCTTGGGGAGTTATGGGGAAAATGTTGTAGTTGGAATGTTCCCTCCAAAATTCATGTTGAAATGGAATTGATACCATAACTATATGAAGAAGTGAGGCTTTTTTCAATTTTTATTTTTTATTAGTACATGTTTGCAATATGCAAGGATTGCATTCATTGTGGGATGTTGGTGCATGGACTTAACGCATCCTAATTCTTCTAACTCCTCCTCCTCCCCTCCTGCTGTCTCATTGTTGTTTCTACTTTTGTAAGAGGCTTATGCCCTTATTTCTTATCATCTATTTTTACTTTGCTTTTTTGTTTACATTTTGAGTTTCTCACACAAGACAAACAATGTGATATTTAAGCTTGTGCATTTTATTTACTTCACTTTATGGTTTATGGTTTCAAAGTGCATCTATTTTCCTCCAGATAACTTGTTGTTGGCAGAGCAGTATTATTGATTCCTCTATTGATGCCTGTTTCCAAGACTTACCTATTATGAAATGTGCTTCTATAAACATGGGTATGCAAGTGTCACTGTAATGTGAGATCTTTAACTCTTTAGGGAGGATACCTAGAAGGGGAATAGCTGAGTCTAATGGAATTTCTAGTTTTAGATCTTTACAGAACATCCATGCCATCTTTTATAGTGGTTTTCCTTGTTGCCATTCACAAGAAAGGCGGAACATTTTGTTTTTTGGAAGAGTTGATTAGATAATGAGGGCTCTGCTCTCATGGATGGATTGTCCTTGTGGGAGGGACAGAGGGAGAGAGTGCCAAGCTTCCTTCTCCCCGCAGCGTGTCTCAGGCATTCTCTGTGCCTTTCAGCCTTGTTGTGATGCAGCCCTTCCCAGATGCCATCACACACACTTGAATTTCTCCACCTCCAAAACCAAACACCAGGTGAATTTTGGTTCATTACCAATTACCCAGTCTCTGGTATTCTGTTACTGCTAACAGCAAACTAAGGCACAATGGACCTCAGGATCTAAAGGTGATGTAGAGACACCAAGTCAGGGGTGGGGGAGGGAGAGGGAGAGGGAGAGAATTCTGGCGGTGGGACCCAGTACTAATGGGAAATGATCAGAGACTGAGATGGTGCTCTCCCAGCTAGGTTTCTTTCTCTTTGTCTCTCTGTCTTTGTCTCTGTCTCTGTCTCCCTTTGTCTCTCCCTCCACTGATGAGTGTGTCATCTCACTTTGGTTTCCCCATCACTCATCACTCCCACCTATGTCCTTCACAGAGTGCAGTGTGTGTGGGGGAACCGGGGACCTCTTCAGGCCTTACAAAGCCTGAGTAGGAGACACACTCATACACCAGCACAAGCACAGCCCACACATGCAGACTCACCAACAGGAGCAGAAGTCCCTACCACCTCCCAACTCAAATGCAACCATGTCTTCACATGTGAATACACAATAAATACATAGATGCTCCCCACATGAAGAATGTACACAGAAGCACACCTGGACTCACACAGAAACACATAATTGCAATTCATGTTGAAATACAAAATAGCCCTTCATAGATAGAAAACCACACAGGTATACACAGCTGCAAGCAAACTGGGACAGAATAAACTAAAGGGCCAAACACATAGTCAGAAATTGACAACATGTGCACCCAGCACACAGAAATGCAATTGTACCCTTTCGCGTCTGTTTTGCAGTATCCCTGCCAACATCTAAGGAGGGGTTAAAGGGCTAGGGAATGAGCAGGTTACCTGGCTGCCCAAACAGGAAGTATGGGTGCTTGGTAACTCTCTTCTAAGATCACACTCCTGGATAAGGATGAGAGAGGAGGCGGGGAAAGGGTGAAGTTGCATAACTGAGGAGGTAGGCTGAGGATAAAAGGTTCAGCTCAAGGCTGCAGAGGGTAGAGGGCAGTCAGATCAGGACCATGGAGCTCAGCCTCCTCTTGTTCCTTGCTCTCCTCCTGGGCCTCTTACTTCTGCTTTTCAAGGGCCACCCAAAGGCCCATGGCAACCTCCCACCTGGCCCACGTCCTCTGCCCTTCCTGGGGAACATTCTGCAGATGAACAGAAAAGGCCTGTTCAAATCCTTCCTGCAGGTGAGATGCAGATGGACGGACCCCAGGGTGGGCTGGAAGAGCACAGTCTCCTTTCAGCCTCCAAGGTTGGTGGGGAGGATCAGTGTGTAAAGGATGTGATCTTGACTCCTGGTGGATACTGGTCAGGTTGTCACAGGTGTTTTTCCGCTGGCAGAATTGTGTGAGACATTGTTCTGGAGAGGATGAAAGGGCATATAGAACTGTGTGAGTGTGATCTGCAGGTGTAGAATCTCACTGTCCTCTGCTGCATACTGCATACTTGCCTAGAAGCAAGAGAAAAAGAACAGTGTCACCAGTCAGAAAGGTTTTGCCTCTGTCAACATAGAGAACAAAGATTGTCCTGAGTCAGTCTGAGGACAAGCAGGAGGAAGGGGGGGAAACAGAGGCAGTAAAGAGTGCTTATTAGGAAGGGTGGGGAGGGGAAGTAAACAGGATCGAGATGTGATATGTACACGCACCAGATCTCCATGATGAATACATTTATGATGTGTCACAAATATATTATTAAGGCCTGATGTGATGGCACTCACCAGTTTCCCAGCCTGAGGCAGGAGGATCACCATGAGTTTGAGGCCAGTCTGGGCAACCTAGTGAGACCCTGAGTAGGGAAATAAAAGGGGGAAAAATCTTGATTTCTTCATTGTTAGAATAGAATCATACCTGTTCAATGATCTATTTATTGATTATATCATCTTTTTACTTTTAGCTTTGTGTACCAGGGATGGTGCTGAGGGCTGAGTCCTGGGGGGTAAGGAACAGAAGAGAAGAAATAGGGGTTTAAAGATCATTTGAAGGCCCAGAAGGGTTTATGTAAGAGGTAGGATTTGGACACACTCATGAAGACTGGACGAATGAGAGTAAGAGGGGAGATGAGCCCATTCATGATGGGTGTTCAGGGTGAAGACGAGGAAGTAGACCCAGGAGAACGGAAAAGCATGGCATGTATGCTGGAGAGGAGGTAGGAACTGAACTGTGGTACCAACATGAGGGGCTGGCTGAAGTGAAGGGGGGCAGCAAGCCATAAAGAGATCCACCCGAGAAGGCAAAATAGAGCCTCACGATACCTTACTCTTTTTTCTGTTGCTCTGAGAAAATATCTGAGGTGGAGACTTTGTAAAGTAAAGGGGTTTACTTAGCTCACAATTTTAGAGGCTGATAGTTCAAGACCAGGCAGTACCATCTGTTCAGCCTTTGTTGATGGCTCCCTATGGTACAAGAGGAGAAATGGAATCTGCAACATGCCGAAAGGGCCCAAACATGGAGAAGGCTTTGTTTTATAACAACCTGCTTTCTTAAGAACTAGCTCATTCTGAAAGACCAGCATTAATCTGTTCTAAGGGTGGTGCCTGCATGATCTAATTACCCTCCACTAGGCTCCACTCTTCAAAGGCTCTGCCTCTTCTCAACATGGCCACTTGGGGACTAAGCTCTCAACATATAAATGTATGAGGGACACACTCAAACCAGATCCAAACCATGCATGTCCAGATAGATGACTGAGTGCTAAGCTCTGATGATCTTCTGAAACAAGCAGCATGGACTTGTCAGGAAGGTCATTGTGGAGCCTGGGGTTTAATTGAAATAAAGGTGGCCACCTTGGCTTGGTGAGGTTCAGCTCAATTCCAACTGCTTGGCTCACAGTCTGGTGCTTGCACATATGTCTGTCAGAATACTTTCTAAAGCTTTCATTTGTGGCTCAGGAAGCCTAGGGCTGCTTTTTTTCCAGGCAACTCTTGGTCTGGAATGTGACTGTGTGAATTTTTCTTCAAATGTGAGTGTTACTAGGATTAAGGATGCAGCACCAGTCAAAACTTGAAGGTCTAGAAGCTCCCTGTAGAGTCACCATTAGAGGACAACATTAGAAGACTGAAGAAACTGGAGACACTTCCAAGACAACATTGAAAACTGGGGCTCTTCTGAAACAGGAACACTTCTTTCTTTCCCTTTTTATTTTGTCCAGGATATAAGCCTATTGGTTGATGCACATCTAAGGTGGGTCTTTTCCTCAGTTGGCTAGCCTATATGTCAATCATCCATAGACACAGCCAGAACTGTGCTTCATTAATCTGCTAGACACTTCTTATTCAAATCAATTGATTATCACAATTAACTGTCGTGAATAGGAAGAAATTCAGTTGGGCCAGGGCAGAACAATGATGCCCTACAGTGTCTAACAGTGCATCACATTTGGATTGTACAGTCAAATCTCTACAGTTTTGTAATAACGTTTTAAAATTTCTAGGTAAGCCTGCAATGGTGCTACAATGTTATACTTTTTAAGGTATAAAGAGGGTCCTGAGGGGCCCAGGGTTTGCTCAGCAGCACAGGTGCCCACTTGGCAAGCACAAAATAGTGAGTTCGACACTTGGTGCAAAAATACATACATATATATATATATATATATATATATATATATATATATATATTTGAATATTTATATATATGTATAGATAAAAGAATAAAATGTGTGTTCTGGATATTTTTCATGGTGGATGAATAAAATTAATTTTGGAAGGATATGTTTTTGACTGTTGTGAATTAAAGATGGACATGAATTCTTTGAGAAAGTATAATTCTTAGTCAACAAGTTTCTGTATTAAATTGCTCTTTATTGATATTATGTCAGTATCATTACAAAACTCAATTTTGACCATAAAATGTTTGTTGGTAAAGTGTTTCCTCATGTAGTCTTTATTTTGGATGAAGACCTGGAGATTTCTTAATTTTGAAATTTTATTTTTTGAGCTGTGTATGGTGATACATGCCTATAATCCCAGCTTTTGGGATCTGTTAAGTGGATTGCTGCAAATTAGAAGTCATTCTGGGCCACATAGTGAGTTTAAGGCCAGCATAAACCATGTAAAGCGAATCTGTCTGAAAAAGAGAAACAGATAAACAATCCACTTTATTTTTTGATGTTTTTTCCTTTTCCTTTGGTTTTCCGTCGGACTTCCCTGTTTCACCTATTCCTTCACATCTGTTCAGAGAATTTGTGTTTGTGTGCAGGCTGGCTTTGAACTCAAGAGGTAGCCCAGGCTGACCTTAGATTTACAGTGATTCTCTGGTCTCAGCCTCCTAAGCACTGGATTATGGGTGTGCACCACAACACTCAGCATTGCTCATTCTTCCTTGCAGCAAATGCTTCAGTTTTTCTTGTAGGAAAAGCTTGGGGGCAAAGTGACATCCTTTATGCATTGGCCCTTGGCTCATGTTCATCCAATCTGTGTCATTTTTGGGGTTTCTTAAATGTCCAGAGAAGTATCATTTCCCCTGAGAAGTCTTTCTTGGTCCTCAGGCATGGTCAGATTCACACCATAAGCTTATTCATTTATTTGTTTATTTATTTTTAAAATAGGGTGTTGCTCCATAGCCCAGATTGGTGTTCAACCCATAGTGATTATGCTGCCTCATCTTCCTGAGTGCTGGGCTTATAGGTGTCTGACATCATGCTCCAGTGCCACTGTGAGCTCTTGTGTGTCACTTGCTTCTGTTGGTGATGGCCATGTCAGTGTCACATTAGCCTGAGCACAGTGCTGAGTGGAGTGCGTGGCTCCCAGCAAGGGCTCAGTAAATAAACATGTGTGAGTGAGCAAAAAAGTGTGTTTAGGGGTGTTAAATAGCTGACTATATTAATGTTTTTGGATCATTGAACACAGCTGTTTGCAGTCTCCCTGTTTGAATGTCCACTTTGTATTCTTTGATACTGTGATTTGAGCAACTATTTTCAAGATGATAATATGTAATCTATTAACAGGTGATTTCTTACTGTTATGTTTTTTTTTTTTTGTAGTTCTGTATTACGTGTACCCTTACACCGCTTTGTTTTGTTTTGTGTTTTTCTCTTTTTCCTCTTAAATTAAAAAAAAAAAAAAAAAAGAGCAAGTGAGCGGAGGCGCCGAGTGTGATTGGGTCAGGACCTGGGAGAGACTGCCTGACCAAGGGACTGTAAACCCAGTGCCCTTTCCCTTAATAGAGTTTCATTGCATGGAGGGCCCCAGTACATAGATTTTTATTTTAGCTGATTGTACATCTCACAGATGTACAATATTTTTTGCTTGCTGGGTTTTGGACTTACTTGGGGCCCGTCACCCCTTTCTTCTTTTCCATGTCTCCCATTTGGAATGGAAATGTCTCTGCTATGCCTGTCTCATCACTGTACTAAGTTCACAGCTGGAAGGGAGTTTGCCTCTGGAGAAATCATGCCTTGGTTTCATTGACCAGACCCCTGACTTTTGAGTTGATGCTGGAACAGGTTAGGGCTTTTCCTGGTTCTGGAATGGAATGAATGTATTTTGCATGTGAGAAGAAAAGGAATCTGGGGGGCTAGAGGTGGAAAGTTGTATGTCTCTGAGAGTTCTTTTATTGGAAACTTAATCCCAATGCAACAGTGTTGAGAAGTGGGATGCTTAAAAGGTGATTAGGTCAGGAGAGCTGATTAACGTGATCATCACTCAAACAGGTTTGCTGTAAAAGGGAATGTGGTCTCCCTTCTTGTGTGCATGCTTTCTTGTTCTTTCACCTTCTGCTACAGGACAGCACAGCAAAGAATTTCCCAGCCAGATACTGGACTCCAAGACTTTGGACCTTGAAGCTTCAAGGACTATGTAAAGAAACCACTCCCCTTCAATAATCCATTCTTTATAAATTACCCACTCTCAGGCATTTTACTATAGAGGCGTGAGATGGACTAAGATAGACAGCGAGGCTCATCATCAGAAGGCACACACATGGGAGAGGAACAGGAGTGTAGCAGCTATAAATCTGCAGGTCTCTTTTGTCTCCATAATCTTAGACTTACTGCCACTTAATACTCTGAGAATCACTACAGTTTCTGAGAGTTTGATTAAAAGTGTGGGCTACTTCCTCTCCAAATATTCACAGATATTTTGCATAAATTTATGAACTATGCAGGCCCTGTAAAGCTCTTCTGTGGGTCTTCCAAGGAGCTTCAAGGTATCCGCAATCTGCCATTTGGTTTGCTTGTGTAATGGAAGAGGGGACAGATACATGTTTGTGTCATGATGGGAAGCACTGGAGAGGGTGACACTGCTCTTTTTCTAGTCCCCAATAAGCTCCCAAATCCTTTTGGAGTTAGAGGTTTGTAGTTTTCTCCTCTGTAGGATGGCGACAATGAGAATATGTGACTGTTAAAAGTTGCTTGAGGATTAGATGAGACAATGCATGGAAAGTGCTATTTCGGTCCACTCATTCATTTGTTCATTAATTCATTAATAATTTATGGACACTTGCTATGTGCTGGGGAGTATTATAGGCATTGATAATGTGACATTTTGGACAAGGCATATATTGTGACTGTTCTCACAGACATTATACTATTAGGTAGACAAAAGCAACGACTGAAATAAAGCAATATGATATTTTAGAAAATAGTGAGAGCCCCCTTAGACTGAGGAGTCAATGAAAGGCTTTGTCTTGCTGTGCTCCTGAGCAGAGATCCTGAAAGAAGCAGGTGACTAGCACCAGAAAGAACAGATATTGTTGAAAGAGCAGGAGAGGAAGAAGCCGGGAGCAGCATGGGGATGGATCAGAGTGAGCCAAGGGGCAGTGGAGGGAGACACCCTAGAAGTGACAGGGCCAGGTCATGCCAGGCTGCAGGGACCGTGGGACAGACTTTGATCTTATTCTCAGGGACGTGGGAGCACTGGAGGCTTGGAGAGGGTAGGAACGATGAGTAACTTATACTTTAACAGAATGTCCCTGACTCCGAGGGTGGTGAAACCATTTTAAAGACTACAGGAGTAGAAGCAGGGAAAGTAGTGAGAAGCCTTTGCAGAGAGTGACACAAGACATTTTCATAGTAGATTTATACATTTTCATGATTTTTGAGCCAAGATTTTTTGAGTTGGACATCACCGTCCCAAAATGGGCAGCTCAGTGGACACGCTCACGTCATTGACATGCAGAAAAAGTGACAATGAGCATACTATTCTGACATCATAGATTAGTTTAAAAATTTTTTTTATATTCATATATGTTTGCAGTACACAATGATTAGATTCACTATAGGGGTTGGTACATGTACATTAATTCTTTATTCTTTTTATATCACCTTCTCCTCTCCTTCCTCCCACTCCCTGTGTCTCTTGGTCCCTTTCCTACAGGTTAGTTTTATCTGTATTTGAACTTTATGTAAAAGAAGAGAATGTAAACAACTTCTCCTTGTCCTTGTCCTTCCCCCTCCTGCTCCTCTGCTGCTGCTTCTTCCTCTCCTTCTCCCTCTCCCCCTCCCTCCTCCTCTTCCTCTTCCCCTTCTCCTTATCTTCCTCCTCCTTTTCCTCCTCCTTCTTCTCCTGCTCCTCCTCCTTCTTCTTCTTTGACACTGTGCTAAATACCTGGCCCAAGCAAATATAAACTAAAACTGCCTTTGTGTCTAGTTGCTTCCACTCAATATTTTATGTGTTGATTTCATTTAGATTTTTGGCTATAGCTCTAGTGGTCTCTTTTTCATTGTTGATAATATTCCATCATGTGAATCTTTCACTACTGCATATATTAATGATCACTTTATTAGGAAGGTTTATATGAATATTCGGTTGATTTTTTTTTTTGGTGAAAAAATATACATTTTTATTGTGTAAGTATTGGTGGTGAAGCTGCAGAGTATGCTTGTGTTTACACCTGAGTAAAACAGTTGGTTTTCTCCATCCCCAGATTTGCTTAGCTTTGGATTGAAAAAATATTGTGTTAGTATTGAACAGGCACTGACTTTTTCTTTCTTTTTTTTTTTTACTTAAAGAAAAGGAAACGAAAAAAGAAAAAAAATACATGGAGATTAAAAAAAAAGGGTAGAAATAATACTAAATTACAGACAAACAAAAGGTAAGAAATTGCCAGTTGATAAGTTACAAATTGTCATCTTCGAAATGGCTGTTCAGGTTATAGAATTAAAGTATTTAGAATGACATTCAAAAAAGTGACCCTACAAACCATTCTGCTCTATGGTCGAACAAAAGCTCCGTAATATGATTATCAGTCCCACCTATTTGTTTTACATCTCTAAGAGGGTAAGGTTAACCATATCAAAACAGAACAGAACATTTAAAAAAAACATAAAAAATAAAAAACAATTTAAAGAAATACAGATTTCAAAGCAAGTCCACTGGAGATCTACCTTATCTAACTGTCTCTAGCTTCTTACAAATAGTTGTCCCTAACTTCACCCACTTTATATACTTATTGCATATTGTAGAACTAATCAAATCATTACAGGATGATGGAGTCTTTTTAGGTCCTCAAGTTCCAAATTAGGGAAGACAATAGCAACTACCATCGCATCTCTCATTCTCTTTGAGATAGCCGTCCCCATCTCTGCATATGCTGAAGTTGAGCTGAAGAAACCAGTCCAATGTCATTCTAATCAGCAAGCAATAGATTGCTAGAATTTATATTATAATGCTACAAAATAAGCCTCAGGTTTTTCAGGTCTCTTCCTCAGAGTATTTGTTCCTATCCTCTCTGTATTAAAGGGAAAACCAAGTCATAACAAGACAGCGAAACAATTTCCTAGAAAAACATGCAATGGATAAGACTTATAAAGCTATAATATAAATGATCTTCCGTAGCTACTATGTTTTCTCTTGTTATTTTCAATAGATTTGTCCACAACACTGGCTTATTATAGTTAAACATACTTACACCTATTTTTATAAAAACTTATCTTTGACTGCATTGTAGTATTTGAGAGCTGTTACTGATTCATACCAGTATGGATATTCTTTACATCTTGTCATGCTCAGAGTAGTTTCCTCTACTTTTAGGGTTGATTCTAACACGCATACCGATTTCAAATAGGATCACTCAAGGCCAACCAATAGTCTTATGATTCAGATACAATTAAGATCAGTCATAGTAAGACAATGTAAATAATACAGGATTTCAGCCTAAGTCAATAGGAAAGTTAGGATAGTTACCATGGTATAACCTGCTATTTATGGTTCTAGAGGTCTGTGTCCTCAAATCTGACATGAGTGGACAGACCAGAACAAATTTAATTCAATCTAAATATGGCACTAGGACTACTGTGTCTTTTAAATCGTTATACACCATTAGCAATGACCTCTGCTTTTTTTTTTTTACATATAGTTTCAGAGCTGTCTCTACCAAAGACTAGCTTACCGTCTCTACCTCATGTCTGCTACTCCACTTTTCTGCTATATTTTGTCCACCTTATTCCCTCATTCCATTGTCTGCCCCGTTCACTGAGGCCTCTCTGCCACTGTAGCTGTAATCCTGATTTCTCTTCCTCTCTTTCTCTGTAATGTCCTTCAGCGCTCTCTGTAGGGTTGGATTGGTGGCCACGAACTCCCACAGTTCCTCCTTGTCTTGAAAGTATCTTATTTCTTCATTAATTTTTAGAGAGAGTTTTGATGGATATATGAACTTCGGTTGCATATTTTTTTCCTTCAGGACTTGGAATATTTCTCCCCACTCCCTTCTTGACTTAAGAGTTTGTGTTGATAAGTCTGCTGTTATTTTGATAGATTTCCCGTTATAGGTAACCTGCATCTTTTCTCTGGCTGCTTTTAATATTCTGTTTTTTTGGTGGATTTCTGGGATCTCGATTATTATATGCCTGGGCATAGATCTGTTTTGGTTGTAGGTAGCTGGCGTTCTGTATGCTTCTTTTATCTGGATATCATTTCTTTTTGCTATACGTGGGAAATTTTGCTTTAATATTTCTGTGAATATTTTTTGTATTTCATTTTTGGATGTTCCTGCTTCCTCACTCACATTCTTTATTCTTAGGTTATGTATCTTTTTATCATCTTCCAGTTTTAGAATTGCTTCTTTCTGGTCCCTTGTTATTTTTAAGAGGCTTTTTCTTTCACGTTCATAAGCCCTAAATCTCTCTTCAAGTTTCAGAAGGTTGTCTTTAGTTTCTGTCAAGGCATTTTGCCAATATTCAATGGAGTTTTTAGTTTCCTGATATTATCTTTGGATCTGTTTCATGTATTCTAAGTTATGCTTAAATTCTTCTTCAGATGCTTCTCTTTCTTTTCTGAATTCCTCAGTTCTTCCATCTGTGTTCTCTTGGGCGGGGCTTGTCATTTCTTTAATTAATCTCTTTATATCTTGCCTCACTTGGATCAGGAGTACATCTTTAAATTCCTCTATGAGATCATGTAAGTACTTTTTAATTTCGGCTGATGCTGTGTCGAGTAGAGGATGGTTACTGTGTTTGTTCTCTTCAGTGTTTAGTTCTCTTGGGTTTATTTTCTCCTGTTGAACAGCTGGATATTTTTTTTTATTTTTATCTCTTGTCATGTTTCTGGTTTCTTTCAGACTGTCCTGGAGTTCTCTGGCCCTCTCCGAATTGCTTAGGGCCTCTCAGAAGCGTGCTGGCTTGAGTTTTTGCTGTCCTCCCCAATTTGCTGTTATCTGGGGTAGGCTGGGATGCAGGGGCGGTACAGTCTAGTCTCTAGCCTCTGTGCCAGTTAGTTCCTAAATTAGGCTGTACTTTCTGGTTGTCACTGAGTTGTGACTATTTTGTATCCGCTTATTGGGCCCCAAGCAGAGGCTTGGTTTAGCCCCAGTAGCTCCTGCCAGTTCTCTTTGAATCAGAAGCAGCTGAGTAATGGCACAGGATTCTGCCCAAGTCCCAGCCGTTCTCTTCCAAACCTCTCTGTGACAGGAGCACCAGAAAAGCAGCTCTGCCCAAAACAAAGATGGCTCCCACTAAGTTCTCTGTGTGGAGCTGATGCCAGCAAGTAATCAGGCTCTGCCAGGACTCAAGATGTCTTCCACCAGCCCTCCCTACAAGGGGACCTGGTGATGTCACCAAGCTGCGGTTTCTGCCGCCAGGCTAATATGTCTGCACCAGGCTCTGTGTTATTGATTTCCCCGTGGTGGCGGGCCAGCTGTTCTCTGGCCAAACCCAGAAGCCGCGGGGTTCTCTGTATTCACCAGAGTCCGGTGCAAGTCCTCGTTCCGGGACCGCCGCACACCAAGCTGCCCACTTTTCCCGCACTCCCAGGACAGCGCGGGGCAGTGCACAGCGTGCGTTCTCAGCACAGTGCTGACCGATCAGATATCTGTGCACCATTTAAATTTGAAATGCCCGCGCTTTGTACGTCCGCTCTGGTGCAGCGGTGCAGACTTGGCTGCTACTTGGAGTCTGGGTCCGTTTCCCGCAGTCCCCAAAAGCAACTCAGCTTTTCGTGCTGGGTCCACGAGTCTGTTTGTTGATTTAAGGGTGCGAGATTTGCAGCCTCCCGTTGTTGGCAAAGGTCTCAGCGCGACTTTAAATCCTCCAGCTGTACTGTCTTGGTTAATAAGAATCGCTATCGATTTGTCCGGCCCTCTCCATGCTGTCTTTTTTTACCTTCGAGTTTGAATTCTCTGGAGAGACTCTTCGCTCGATCCCCTAGCCCACCGCCATTTTCAGAATCGGCACTGACTTTTTCTTGCTGTTTATCCCTAAACAATACAGTAAGCAATTTTTTACATAGCATTCCCATTGTTTGATATATTAGCTATCTGGGGATGATTTGATGTTTATAGGAGGATGAACACAGGTTATCTGCAAATACTAGCAAAGATTTTGATATCCAAGGGACTCCTGATATCTACTTCCCATAGATACCAAGGGGTGACTGTCCTGTCTACCAGTTTCTCAAGAGGCTGAACTGATAGAATCTTTCAAATTTCATGCTCAGGGCTAGAGGATTGTTATTGTCCCTTCCCTTGCACTAAGAGGGTGAGTCAGAGTTGTTCCCTCCAGAAATTACTGGGAGTCACAATGCAGATTGAATTTATGGCACAAGAATTCTTCGAGTTGACATCCAGGTTGGTCAGCCAGGGTTTAAAGGTATGAGTAAAGATGAGATTAAGAATACAGTTTTTTTTTTGTCTTTTTCATTTCAACCTTCTTAGAGCCTTAATCACTCAGAGTACCCTGGCTGGGCAATGGCTTAACCTTTTAGTTTCTGTGTCATAGGAAGGAGTGAGGCAGCGGAGGAGGGAACAAGGATCATTGATCAAGGGATCTAATCACCTCCACCAATATATTTAATATATATTTAAATATTTTTTTATTTTAAAAAAGATTAAGATAGAAGAGGACATAACAACATGTGTCAGAACAGAACAATTTAAGCAACAGTGTTTCATGAAGAGACAGCCTGACATAATAGTAGCTACCATAGTGTCTCTTTCCTTCAAATATTTGAATATACCTTTGTATAGTATAGTATAGAATAGTATAGTATGGTATAGTATAATACAGAATATACTTTCATATAGTATCAAACATAACAAGAAAGTATAAAACCATTCAAGAGAATGAAAGTATTACAGGGTATTCAGAACCAACTAACAAAAATGAACAATGGTTACTATATTATCTCCTTGTCTATAAAAATTTTTGTTTATAATATCACATATAGTAAAATCCAATAAGACACAACATGATAAAACCAATGGAGACAGAAGAACAAAGCTTGGTGGGACTTCAAAACAAGAGGATATTAAATCATCACTTGCTGTTATAATGTCTTGTTTTCTTCAAAATAGCTGTTCACACCAACACAGACAATAAAATCAAACAACCCAGAATAAAACCATTCCACCTAATGAATGAAAACATTATAAGGCTTCAAAGCAATATAATGGGGAATCAGGATTACCACATACTTTTTTGTATTGTTATCATTTCTTACACTAGGGAAACTATTCGATATTTATACATGTGAGTTTGATTTATTTCACTTACAAATATGGTGTCAAGCTGCGTCCATTTATTTATAAATATCTCAATATGATCATTCGTTATAGCTGAGTAGTATGCCATTGCATAAAAATACCAGATCCTTTTTATCCATTCCTCAATTGATGGACACTCAGGTTGTTTCCAAGCTCTGACTATTACAAATTGTGCTGCTCTAAACATGGGTGCACATATATCACTGTGGTATGATGTTTTCAGTTCTTCTGGGAATATGCCTAGAAGTGGAATATCTGGAACAAATGGGACTTCCAATCCCAGCTTTTTGAGAAATCTCCAGACTTACCCCCACAATGGTTGCACCAGTCTACACTGCCACCAACAGTGCAGGAGAGTTCCTTTTTCCCCACAGCCTCTCCAGCATTTGTTGTTGGTGGTTTTCTTCACGATGGCCATTCTTTATGGAGTGAGATGGAATCTCAGTGTGGTTTTAATTTGCATTTCTTTAATGAGTAATGATGCTGAATATTTTTTCATGTATTTATGTGCCATTTATATTTCTTCATCTGAGAATTGTGTATTCATCTCAGATGCCCATTTTTGGATTGGAACTTTGAATTTTTGGGGTCTGATTTTTAAAAATTCTTTATATGTTTTAGACAGAAGTCCTTTGTCTGAGGGACAGTTTATTAAGATTGTTTTCCAGTTTGTAAATTTTGTTTTCAGTATGATGGAGACTTCTTTTTATGTGTAAAAACTTTTTAATAAGAGGTGATCCCAGTTGTTGATTCTGGTAAGTATATCCCACGTGGTTTGATTCTTGTTCATGAATTCTCTACCTACCCCTATATCTTCAAGGTTCTTACCCAACTTGACTTCCAATAGATTTAGTGTTTCTGTTTTAATATTCAGATCTTTGATCCATTTAGATTTTAATTTAGCACATGGTGATAGGCATGGGTCTAGTTTTAGTTTTTGGCATGTTGGAGAGCCAGTTTTGCCAACACCATTTATTAAAGAGAGTGTCATTGTTCCATTGAACATATTTGGCCCCTTTATCGTAGATAAGGTAGTTGAGTGTGTTTGTAGTTGTGGTTGTATTTTCTAATCTATTCCATTGATCTTCAGCTCTGTTGTAATTCCAGTACCATATTGATTTTATTATAGTTGCTTTGTAGTATAACTTCAAGTCAGGGATTGTGATGCCTCCTGACTTGCCTTTGCTGCTTAGAATTGCCTTTGCTATTCTAGGTCTCTTCTGGCTCCAGATGAATTTTAGGAATGATTTCTCTAGATCTATGAGGTATATCGATGGTATTTTTTGTTTGCTCTTTTTTAAAAAACTTTTTATCAGTACTAGGGATCGAACTCACGACCACCTGCTTGCAAGGCAGGTGCTTATGCTGCTGAGCTAAATCCCTAGTCCCCATTGATGGTATTTTTATTGGGATTTCATTGAATCTGTATAAAAGTTTTGGGAGAATGGCAATTTTCACAATATTTATTTTTCCTATCCATGAGCAAGGGATGTCTTTCCATTTTCTGAAATCCTCTACAATTTCTTTTTTCAGTGTATTATAATTTTCCCCATATAGAAGTTTCACTTCTTTTGTGAGAATAGTTCCTAAATATTTCATTTTTTTGGTTGCTAGTGTGAAGGGTGTGGCTTCCCTTATTTCTCTCTCAGTGATTTTGTTGTTAGTGTATAGAAATGCTATTGATTTTTGAGTAATGATTTTGTATCCAGCTACATTGCTGAATTTATTTATTATATCTAGGAGTCTTTCAATGGAGTTTAGGGGGTCTTCTATGTAGAGTATCATGTTGTCTGCAAATAATGATAATTTAACTTCTTCTTTTCCTATCTTTATCCCTTTTATTTCTCACTTTTGTCTAACTGCTCTGGCTAGTATTTCCAGTACTGTATTAAATAGGAATGGTGATAAGGGACATTCTTGTCTTGTGCCTGATTTCAAGGTAAAGGCCTTCAGGTAAAGGCCTTCAAGGTAAAGGTGGTCTGTCTTTCCTCTCTGACAGCTTTTAATATTCTATTCTTATGTTGGATTTCTGGGATGGTGATTATTATATGCCTAGGTGTAGTTTTATTTTGGTTATGGTTATTTGGAGTTCTATATGCTTCACTGATCCTAATGCCAGTTTCCATTCTCATGTTTGGGAAATTTTCAGTTATGACTTCTGTGAATAGCCTTTTGATATCATTTTTGTTGTTCCCTTCTTTTTCATGTATCCCTATTAATCTTAATGTTGTTTTTCTTTGCATCATCTTGCAGCTGTTGAACTGTTATTTCCTGATTCCTTGTTATTTTTAAAAGATCTTTCCTTTCCTGTTCACTAGCTGCAATCTTGTCTTCGAGGTCTGAAATTCTATCTTCACTTTCATTGAAGTGGTTTTTTAAAACTTTCAATGGAATTTTTGATTTCCCATATATCTGTTTGCATCTGCTTTATTTATTCTGTTTGCTTCTTATATTGGTCATCCAGGGATTCTATCTTTTTGTTTTTTTCCTCCAATTTTCTTAACTGTGTATTCTTTAGATATATTTAGCATCTCCTTCATTTCTTTTATCATTTCTTCTTTTAACTGAGGGATTTTTTCTAGTTTCAATTCCTTCAAAGCTTCGTGGAGTTGCTTCTTTATTTCAGGTGCTATTATTTCAGGTGTTTCAGGTGTGTGGCATATATTTTTTTCTGTGCACATAGCTCTTAAGGTTTCTTGGGATGGGCTGGAGGTTTGAGATTGTATTTGGTCTTTTGTTTTGTCATTTTCCTATATTTCATGTTTCAGATGTTAATTCAAGGTTTCCCCTCAGGCTGTTGGGAATCCTCTTCTATGCCCTCAGCTCTTGAGACTCTGGCCACCCAGTTCCTGGATTGAGTGAGGATCACTGGGCCTGGGACAGGTAGATGCAAGCCCTGCGGGACCAGTTGAGTGTGGCAGGAAACTGTGAAGTTCCTTGGATGTTGGGAGTAATGATCTCAAACTCTCGGGCTCGGGATCCTGCAGGGACTCTCACTTCAGGCCGCCCAGTTTCCAGAATTGAGGGCACAGGCAGGCCCAAGTTCCCAGGGCCGGCAAGCCCAGTAAGTCAGGAAGTCAGACATTTTGTGCAGGCTCACCCAAGATCTGCTGAGCCAGTGCAGCAGGAAACCATGAAGTTCCCTGGCCACTGGGAGCAAAGATCTTAATCTCCTGGGGCTTGGCCTTGTGTGGGACCCTCACCAGTCTCTGGAATTGAGGGCGCAGACAGCCAAAATCCCTGGAGCCTTATTTAAATATTTTAATAGTTTAACCAGAGGTATGTATACTCACTACTAGCAATCCTGCTATTGGTATGTTTGGCAGTTCCGAGAGAAATACGGAGATGTGTTCACTGTGCACCTGGGGCCAAGGCCTGCGGTCATGCTGTGTGGGGCAGAGACCATACGGGAAGCCTTGGTGGACCAAGCTGATTCTTTCTCTGGCCGGGGGATGATTGCTACCATAGAATCTACCTTCCAGGGATATGGTGAGCACCTCAAAGGCACTGTGGTGGGGCGGGATGGAGGAGGAGACTTGGCAAAACTGAACATGAGAAAAGAAGAGAAAAGTGGGGAGGGACCCTTCCTCTGCACCTCATGTGTCTCCTACAACCACTAGGTGTGGTCTTTGCCAATGGGGACCGCTGGAAGGCCCTTCGGAGATTCTCTTTGGCCACCATGAGGGACTTTGGGATGGGAAAGCGGACTGTGGAGGAGCGGATTCAGGAGGAGGCTCAGTGTCTGGTGGAGGAGATGAAGAAATCCAAGGGTGAGACTTGAGGGGTGGGGTGGGTAGGGAAGGAAGACTTGGTGCTGAGAGAGAGGCAGTTTGCACAGCAATGGAAACAGAGAAAGTTACATATGCACAGAGAAGGATAGAAATAGAGGCAGATAGAAGGATAGGAACAGAAAGAGACAGAATAGAAATGAACAGAGAGATAAGCAGCAGGGCAACAAAGCCAGAGAAGCATCTGTGAGGCTCATGGTGTTCAAGAATAACTTGGAGAAATAGGCTGAGTGATTGTATGCTATTCATTTGTGTGCAGGGAAATCAATTCATGGGTTAATTGTATGCATCAAAGCTTTTACACAAGTCTTGCTTGTGTAAAAGGAAGCAAAGGGAAAAGGAGGAACAGCAGATATGAAACTAGAGAATTGTGTTTCCTCTCCCTTGAATGAAGTGCTGATGGGCAAGCAGTGAGCAAAGAGGCAGGTGGGTGTGCTGCTCTCAGGGGAGCATTTTCAGTTCCTTTGGGATCCTCTGTAAGAGGGCTGCAGAGGTGAAGGGGCTCTTGGTTTGCATCTCCATGGTTAGCATTCTTTAATTCATGTCAGGTATTTATTGTCTGGAGATACCAAAGCTGGGACAAAGCAATAGGGTCAGAGGGACTAAGTAGAAAGACAGAAGGAGGCAGAGAGTGGGAAAGAGGAAGAGACAAGCCTGAATGGGCCAAAAGGAAGAGAAAGCAACAGTACAGTGAGAAAGACTCAAAGAGGAAAAAAAAAAGATAAAGGCAGAGAGAGGGTGAGAGAGAAAATTAGAGACAGATGGATGAGTCTTAGGGAAGGTCTATAAAGGCAAGAGAGGAGACAGAGAAGTGAGCCAGATGGACAGCGTGAGAAAGAAAGAGACAGAGGCAGGGAGACAGAAAAGATCCCCACTACGTGATATCCTTGGACTAGTCTCCCTCCTTCTGAGTCAAGCCCTACAGGAGGGAAAAGAGGTAAAGGGTGGGGCACAGGAAGAAGTGATCAGGGTTTTTACACCTGCACAAGCCATGATGGGACATGCTGTACCACCTCTGCCCTGGGGCTTAACACTTTTTAGCTTACAGAGAGGGAATTGGGACCAGGATGACATGCAGGGCAGGGACCAACTTCAGAGGTTCTGTCTCTACCTTTTCCCAGGAGACCTTCTGGACCCCTTGTTCTTCTTCCAGTCTGCTACTGCCAACATCATCTGCTCTATTGTGTTTGGAGAACGCTTTGACTACAAAGATCAGCAGTTCCTGAGGCTGCTGGACCTGTTCTATCAGTCCTTTGCACTTATCAGCTCCCTATCCAGTCAGGTCAAGGGAGGGGGCTGGAGCACGGGGGTGAAGGGAGCAGTCAGGGCAAGGGAGAGTGATGGCCTGCTTTGGGGGGACCAGAAATGCACCCAGGGTCAGGAGAAGGGTGAAGACAGCACTCAAGGACAGGAACACTGAGACCTGAAGGGAGGGACAAACAGTGAACAGGGACCAAGAGGCTGAAAAAGAGAAAGAATAGTGAAGGGGATGTGGAAATAAAGTGGGAGAGACAGATAAAATGCAGGGTGGAAAAGAGAAGGGAGGAAAGAGAGAAGACAGGGAAGGAAAATAAAGGCTACAGATATTTTGAGACTCCAAAATGTGTGTGTGTGTGTGTGTGTGTGTGTGTGTGTGTGTGTGTGTGTGTGTGTGAAGGAGAGAGGCAGACTCAGGATGGAGAGATGGTGGGATAAAGATTGTCCGTGGAGATCTGTGGCCAAGGACAGCTTCACCCTTCAGTGTCTGTTAACTGGGTCCCTTGTGGACCTCAATGCCCCTTCTTCTTGGCAGATGTTTGAGCTCTTCTACAGTGTCCTGAAATATTTTCCTGGCACACACAGTGTAATCTACAAAAACCTGCAGGAAATTAACAGCTTCATTGGCCGCAGTGTGGAGAAACACCGTGAAACCCTGGACCCCAGCAACCCCAGAGACTTCATTGATACTTTCCTGCTGCGCATGGACAAAGTGAGAGGTTGGGGAAGGGGATGAATAGTTGGGGAGGATGGAGAGATGATCTGAAGAGAAGGAAAGAGGTAGAAGATGAGAAGAGGGGAAGGAAATACAGGGTGGGGAGGAGAGTATAGGAAAGGGGAAGATGGGAGTAGAAGAGAAAAGAAGATGAAGTGGATGGCAGGAGAAGACAGGAAGGAGAAACTGACATGGGCAGGAAAGAGAGAAGAGGCAAAGACTGGCTCGGGAAGAACATCAGAGCAAGGGGCAAAAAAAGAGAAAAACCCACAGAGGCAGAGAGAGAATGGGGAGACAGACAGAGAGAGAGAGAGAGAGAGAGAGAGAGAGAGAGAGAGAGAGAGAGAGCGCCAGTGAGCACTGGATGGGAAGGATGGAGAAATGCAAGGCAGGCCAGATCACCTGAGTCCCAGAAACAGAGGGAGGTTGCCCAGAGGGACAGATGAAACTTCCTGCAGCAAGGCTTTGGTCTTCCCTGACCATCTGTATCTCCTTACTCTGGACCTAGGAAAAGTCTAACTCACACACTGAGTTCCACCACAAGAACCTCATCCTGACCTCGCTTTCCCTCTTCTTTGCTGGCACGGAGACCACCAGCACAACTCTCCGCTATGGCTTCCTGTTTTTGCTCAAATACCCCCATGTCACAGGTGGGTGAGCAACAGCCAGTTGGGAAGGCCCTGTGATATCCTCTGGGCTGCAGAGGTGGGGTGAGGGCATCTCATGGATGAGAGATAACCGTGGGCACTTGTGCCAGGAACTCTGCAGGCTTTGGACTAGCTCCCCACTAAGCCAGTCCTGGGGACTTACAGGTCAATGAACAAGCCTCTATTAACCGGTTTTTCCACTGTTTTCTCTCATCACACTTAAACAGTGAACCATCTCTCCATCCATCCATCCATCTGTTTATTAATTCACCTGCGTACTTACTGATTCTTTTATCTATGGTTCGTCAAAGGAGGTATAGCTTTATTCATTTGCTTGGATGAACTGACTCGTTGATCCTTCAAACACTGGTAGTTGTCACTGAGCCACTGGTTCAGTACATTATTCATGCGTCTACCCACCCAGCTCTCTTTCAACTAAATTTTATTACTTAACCAAAAGCCTTAACCAATTTAGGCTTCAATTATCTATCATTGCTCCACTGATTCAGCTAATCTCATTTATTCATACCACGTTTACTTTTCATTCAAGCATTCCAACTTTTTATTTATTTATTCATATCTTTTTCTTGTCTATTTTATACATTTTTTATTTTGAAGAGATTAAGACAAAATAGGATAAAACAAAGCAGATCAGAACAGAACAATGCAAGCAACACAGTCATTCACCACATGACAACGTGATATTAAAAGTAGCCACCATAATGTTTCTTTCTTTGAAATAGTTGAGTGATTTTGTTTATTTCATTGATTCATCAATCTTTTCATTTATTGATTTAGCCATTGATTGATTGATTGATGGACTCATGAATTAAGTTACTGATTTATTCTTCTGGTATATGGTTTATGACCTAGGAGTGACCCACTTGCCAGGATCATAAATATTAGTTCAAATCTTCTTCCTTTTAGAGGAGTAGCTTTATGGTTAATACAAAATTCTGTACAAAATTGTGATGTGTGTGTGTGTAGCTGTTGATGTGGGGAGATAATTTGTACCATTACTGTATTTTAAAGGGTGAGAATTCTTGTTAATTTCTCCTCATTTCCTCACCCATAGCTGACTTCTTTGAGGGGGTGAATGGTATAACCATTTTCTGTAGGGATTTTCTGGCTCATTGGTCCAAAGAAAAAAAATGTTATTACTCAAATTCCTTTGGGTCATGGCGTTCATCATCCACTTTTCTGAGCAGAAAGAGTCCAAAAGGAAATTGAACAGGTGATTGGCTCACACCGCCAGCCAGCCTTGGATGATCGATCCAAAATGCCATACACTGAGGCTGTCATCTGTGAGATTCAGAGATTTGCGGACCTGCTCCCCATTGGTGTGCCCCACATGGTCACCAAAGACACCCACTTCCGAGGGTTCTTTATCCCTAAGGTGAGACCACCTGGGATTCCATGCCTTTGTATGAGCCTCTTTGGTTTCTTAACCCACTTCTCAACCTCCTGTTGGTTTCTCAGTGGGGAAACATTATTTCAGCTTTGTTTTGTAGTAATAGGTTTTGATCTTGTACCTCAGGGCACTGAAGTATACCCACTCCTGTCCACTGCTCTTCATGATCCACGTCACTTTGAAAAGCCAGACTCCTTTAACCCTGACCACTTTCTGGATGCTAAGGGGACACTGAAGAAGAATGAAGCTTTTGTTCCCTTCTCCATAGGTAAGTTGATCCATTAGCCCTCTCCTAGACACTAGAGGGAGGTTCCCATTCTCCCTTTGAGACAAAGGATGGCAAGTGCTTGTTTACTGAGGACCTTGCTTAATTTCCCTTGCTTTAACCTAACTCTCCTAGTCCATCTCCACTGCAGTCCTTGAAAAGACCTGAGCAGTCGGATTATGTCCTAAAGGCACATTTTGGTAATCAGGACCTTTGGCAAATACACAGTTTTTAAACATATGGGTGTTTACACCTGTAATCTTAGGTAGTTGGTAGGCTGAGGCTGGAGGATTGCAAGTCCAGGGCCAGCCTGGGCATCTGAAGCAAGAGCCTATCTCAAAATAAAATGGGCTGGTGATGTAGCTTAGTGCTAGAGTGCTTGCCTAGCATGTGCGCAGCCTTGGACTCAATCCTCAGTACTGAAAAGAGTTTCTGAATGGGAACAAATTCATTTTTAAAAAGCAAAGTGAAACAAAACAAAATATGTATGTCTCCCATTTGAGGAAGGCATGGTACAAACAAAGAGCACATTGAGGGAGAAGTGGAAGAAGACAAGTGGATGGCTTCCTGCAAACGGAGAGGGTTCAAGAAGACCCAGGGGAAAGGGAGGGGCAGAGAAGCTGGAAATGAGCAGAATAAAAATACGCTGTGTACAGAAACCTAATAACCTCAAGAAGCATAAACATGATGGGTCATGAAAATGGGATGTGTTTAATAATATCAAGGAAAGTAAACATTGGGGATGGAGAAGGGCTAATGTTTGAGGGCAAGGGATGAAAAAATAGAGCCCAGCTGTGTTATATGCACATATCTACTAACCAAGATGATTGTAAACTGCATATACTGCAAGTATGTACTAATAAAAAATATAACAACAACAGTAGTAGGAAGCAGACCTCAAGTATTAGCCTCATTCTGAAGCCAGTGCTCTATTGGAGGAAAAAGATAATGCATTAAGCAAAGCACATAGTGCCAGATCCAGGAAATGTGACGTAAGGCAGGGGAGGTAGACATTCATCAACCAGTCATAAAGTTATGATGTCATTAAATATACTTGGGATTGCCTGGAACAAGGTCAATTCTTACAAGGGGAAATTGCTTTTGTTTGTCATGGTAAATGCTCTAAAAGTGACTTTGGAATTGAAAAATAGTAAATACTGAGCGACTTTGGTGGGTTGATGAAAAGAACGCTTTGAGAACCTGGCTTCTAGGTTGAAGCCTCATGTGTGAGTATTAATCCGCCACTGGGAAGAGTATCCCAGGGAGAGGCAATCACAAAGGCCAGCAGACTGAAGGTGGTGTCTTCATGATGCACTGGAGAAACTAAAAAGCTCTGGTGTGTAGTTTAGGAATGGGGCAGGATGAAGAGGTCAGTTGAGCAGGGCCTGGAAGCCTGGGAGAGGAGCTTGGATTTACCCTAAAGCACTGAGGAGCTGGAGAAGGTCTTGAAACATTCAATTGTATTTGTTTCCATTTTCTGCTCTGCTTGGTTGATTTGTTTTTTGTTTTTGATTGAGGAAATATTTATTTGCTGCCACTATCTGAGCCAGTAGGTGCCCTGGTATAAATAGAAATCTTTCCAGTTGAGCATGAGATTGTAAACTCATATTCAAAGCACAACAGACTTGAAAACCAGTATATTACCCAGTCTCCTTCCTTTCTTTTTTCCTTTGGTTTGTTGAGCCTCAGTAACACTATGTAGTTCAGGCTGGCTTTGAGTTCACTCTGCAGCCCAAAATGAGCTCTAACCTGTAGCAGCCTTTATGCCTTAGCCTCCCAAGTGCTGGGTTTTCACTAGAATCCTCTTGCGTCAACCTTCCTTCTGGTTATGCAGGAAAATATTGTTGGATTAAGAAGCTTCTTTTACCATAAGTCTACATCACATTGATAAAGAATGGGGATATTCATACAGCTATAAGATATATTTCATGGTACATACAGTGAAGAATTAGATCTTAATCTTCTTTTTCTTATAATTTAGTTTCTTCTACATTTGAAACATACTTATTCAGAATTCCTGCTGGTGCATGCCTGTAACCCCAGCACTTGGGAGGTTGCGTAGGAGGATTGATATAAGTTCAAGGCCAGCCTCGGATACAAACTGAGTTCAAAGCTAGCCTGAACAGCATAGAGAAACCCTTCTCAAAGAATATTTTCTTAAATTCAACTTAAAACATTCTGTTATTGTGCAAAAACTATGAATCAAATATGTATCAGACTAAAATATAGTAAGAGGTAATATAACTTTGTTGAAGAGGCGTTATAATTTATGTCCCGCCTGTCTGCTAAACTTAGCAGTTTGAACCTGATCATATATAGACTTCATATCTGAACCATATAAAACAAAAAGCCAGAGAATCTGTTTAATTATATTTCTTCCAACTCTTGAATATGAAGTTTTTGATATCTGGAAATTCATGGTAAGGTAATATATATATCCTTAAGCCTTCTCTTGTTTTGTCTTATTTGGACATGTCTGAGTGGTTTGTAGGCTGTGCTGAAAGCTTGAATGCTATGAATTGCTGAGATTAGGTTGTCTGTTCCAAGAGTATATTCTCAAGTTAGCTGTGGTTTCTGTATGTATTGAGTTAGCTTTCAGTTTGCTATATAAGTAGGCAGCTTTATATCAAATTTAACAGGCTTCACCCATGGAAAACACCAATGTCGTTTTCTTATCTTTTGGGAGGAAGGAATTCCCCAGTTACAAGTCTTTAGTCTTGAGTTTCAAGAGTGACTCCAGGGACCTGGTGCAGTGGCCTTCTCCTTTGTTTTGTTGGGAGTTTGGAACAGTGGCAGCATGGAGGTGGAGGTAGGATGGGGTTTGTTTCCCGTGCTTGTTAGTTCTACCCTAGTTTACAGAAAGCAGAGATGTAGAGAGATAAGGAAAGGGGCAGATAGATAAGCAAAAGTGAATTATGAGAATGATACAGAAAGAGAAAGAATGACAAAGAGACTGAAAAGAAGAGACAGCATGGTGGGGCAGATAGGCAGGGGAGAGAGAGAGGAAGAAAGATCGAGACTGAATGAGAATGAATCAGATCCAAACAGAGCCAGGAAGTTCAGGTGGCATAAAGCAGAAAAGAGAAGAGAGAAATAAAAGATAGACCTAGAGATAGGGCCTGATAGATACAGACAAACAGAGGCAGACCACCCTGAGAAGAAGGAAAGCTAAATTGGGACAATGGAGTATAAGAGCAAAGGAGATATCAATAGTGTCCAAATGGAGAGCTCCAGATCTGGAGATGGAATGCAGAGAAGGCCTCAGGGTATTTTGGAGAAATCTGGATCACAGAATCTGTTCCAGGAGGAGAACCATCTTGGGACTTTCCCTGAGTATTAAGCTCATGGCTCCAAATTTCTGAATGTATCAGAGAGAAATGGGCACTGCCCTCAGGTACCAGTATGTAGGTGCAATATCCTAACAATCTGAAAAGCACTAGGAGTACCCAGAAATCATCCTTGACACGATTTTCTCAAGTTCATCAGTTTGCAAATGGAGAAGCACTGAAGTAAAGGGAGAGCCTCTCTGAACTGAATTTCGGGCTCTCTTTATTTTCATTACACCCAAGACCAATATTTTTAAACTGGCAGTGATTCATTACACCTCAGAGAAACTTGTGGGACCACAGATCTCCCCTTGTGTGTCCTGGTCTCATTTATAATTTTATGTGAAGTACAAGCGTATATGTATGTATATGCTTGAAGCCCTTAGATCTCAGGCAGAGGCCAGAAAGCAACCAAGATTGGGAGAATTGAGAGAGGAGAAAAAAAGGAGAGAGAAAGAAAGAAAGAAAGGGAGAGACAGACAGACAGATAGTTAGAAAGACAGACAGACACAGAAAGAGGCACAGTGAGACAGAGATAGATGGAGAGGTACATAATCTCAAAAACACTTTACCACTCAGAAAAAAAAACACGAGTTAGTACAGTATAGATTTTTAATATGAGTCACATATTAGTTTGATTTCCTATGAATAGTGACTGAACCTTTGCAGTAGCCCTGAAATGGACTATTTTCTGCATATGAAAAATGAAGAATACTAAAAATGTTATCTTGTACACGTGCACATATTTTTGTATTTACACATATGCACATACGGGTCTTTATCTTGTGGAAAAATCCTAGATTGAAAGGAAAATGCTCCTCTCTGTGGTATTTGAAAAAAATTTGTTTATTATTGCCAGTGTAGTTTGAGTCCAGATCACCAGCCCAGAGTCAGTTTAGAGTTCAGTTTAAATACATTTAGCAAGTATACAAGGTACACATCTGACCCAAAATGAAACTCATAGATTAAAATCAAAGGATGGAAAACAGTATTCCAAGCAACAGGAACCCCCCCCCCCCAAAAGCAGGGCTAACTATTCTGTTTCCAGACAATGTGAACTTGAAACCTAAAATGATTAACAGAGATAAAGAATGTCACTACATTCTGATTAGTGGAAAAATTCAAGAGGAAGAACTAACTATTATAAATATTTAGGCACCAAATACAGAAGCACCCATCTACATTAAACAAATAGTAATGGACATGAAGAACCAAATACACAAGAACACAGTTATAACAGGGGCTCTTAATACTCTCTCAAAGAGATAGATAAACTAGACAAAAAGTCAGCAAAGAAATAATAGAACTGAATCATCCCTGTGAGCAACTGGACTTACTAGATGTTTACAGAGTGTTCCACCAACCACGCAGAATACACATTCTTCTCAGGTGCATATGGGACATTCTCTAAAACAGACCATATAGTATCCCATAAATCATTCTTAAGTAACTGCAAAGGTATTGAAATTATCCCATGCATAATATCTGAGCATAGTGTACTGGGAAATTGGAAATTAATGGCAAAAATGGCAAAACCTTCATAAATACATGGAAATTAAATAATAACCTTCTGAACAACTAGTGGGCTACAGATGAAATTAAAGAAGAAATAAAGCAATACCAACAATTCAATGAAAATGCAGAAGCAACATACTGTAGTCTGTGGGATGCAATGAAAGTGGTCTCAACAGGGAAATATATAGCAATAAATTATCACATCAAGAAAACAGAACGAGTACAAATCAACAGTCTAATGCTTCATCTCAAGTTTCTAGAAGAAGGGCAAATTAATCCCAAAGCTCATAGAAGAGAGGAAATTGTAAAGATTAGAGCAGAAATCAATGCAATTGAAACTAAAAAAGCAATACAAAGATTTAATTAATCAAAAAGCTGATTTTTAAGGGAATAAACAAGATTGACAAACCTCTAGCTAACTTTATCAAGAAAAAGCATGAAAAAACCCAAATTCATTCCATAAGAACTGATAAGGGGAAAATGACTACAGATCCCAAGGAAATTCAAAAGAATACCTACTTTGAAGATTTCTACTCACACAGAGTGGAAAACATAGAGGAAATGGACAGATTTCTATAAACATATCAACACTAAAGCTCAACCAAGAACATATAGCAATTTTGAATAACCCAATATCAGCTATTGAAATTGAAAATGTAATTAAAAAGTTACCAACAAAGAAAAGCCGAGGTCCTGATAGCTTCATGGCTGAATTCTACAAGAAATTTAGAGAAGATTTGATACCAATATTCCTTAAACTCTTCAATGAAATTGAAAACGAAGCAATCCTTCCTAAATCATTCCTGAAGGTAAGTATCACTCTGATACCAAATCAGAGAAAGACCCAGCCCAAAAGGAGAACTATAGGCCAATCTCACTAATGAACATTGATGCAAAGTCTCAATAAAATGCTGGCAAACAGAATGCAGCAAATCATCCAGAAGATTATAACTCACAACCAAGTGGGATTTATTGCAGGAATGCAGGGATGGTTTAACATACACAAATCAATGAATGTAATATACCTCATCAACAGAGCCCAAACCAAAAACACAGGGTCATCTCAATAGGTGCAGAAAAACCTTTCAATAAAGTCCAATACATGTTCATGATAAAAACCCTTTAGAAACTCAGAATACATGGCATCTACCTGAATCTCATAAAGGCCATCTATGACAAACCAACAACCAACATTCAGGCAAAACCTGAAAGCTTTCACTCTAAAATCAGAACCAGACAAGCATGTCCACTATCACCACTCCTATTCAATATAGCATTGGAAACACTATCCAGAGCAACCAGGCAAGAGAGAGAAATAAATGGAATAAAGATAGGAAAGGAAGAAGTTAAACTATCACTGTTTGCAGCTGACATGATACTTTATATAGAAGAACCAAAAACTCCACTAAAAGACTACTGGAATCAACCTAAAAAAAGTGTAAGTTCCTATAGGCTGAAAACTACTACACTAAAAAAGGAGGTTGAATAGGATATGAGAAAATGGAAGGATATTCTTTTCTCTTGGCTAGGGAGAATGAACATTGTGAAAATGGCCATATTCCTAAAACTGTTATACGCATTTAATGCAATCCCAATAAAAATACCATTGACATACCTCACAGATCTAGAGAAAACACACCTAAAATTCATTTGGAAACAAAAGAGACCTAGAATAGCAAAGGCAATTCTGGACAACAAAGGCAAGGCAGGAGGCATCTCAGTTTCTGACTTGAAACTATACTACAAAGCCACAGTGATAAAATCAGCATGGTACTGGCAAAGAAAATAGACCTGAGGATCAGTGGAGCAGATTAGAAGATGAAATCACAACTACAAAGACACTCAGCCAACTGATATTTGATAAAGGTGCTAAGCATGTTCACTGGAAGAAGGATAGCCTCTTTAATAAATGGTGTTAGAAAAATTCACTCTCCACATGCTGAAGACTGAAACTAGATCCATGCTTACTGCCATACACAAAAATAAAGTCTAAATGAATCAAAGATCTAAGTATTAAAATGGAATCAATCAATCTACTGGAAGACAATGTAGGTTGAAGTCTTGGAGACATAGGGTTAGGCAGAGAATTCATGAACAAAACGCAAACTGCACAAGAAACACTTGAAAGCATCAACAACTGGGACCTCATATTATTGAAAAGTTTCTGCACTTCAAAGAACATCACCAACATAGTGAAAAGAAAACCCACAGACTGGGAAAGAATTATAGCCAGCGACCCCTCAGACAACGGACTTACATCCAGAACATATAAAGAATTGAAAAACATGAAGCCCCCCAGATTCAAAGACCCTCTCCAAAAATGGACATCTGAGATGAACACACATTTCTCAGTTGAAGATATACAAATGCCAAATAAATACATGAAGAAATGTTCCCCAAAACTGATCATTTGAGAAATGCGAATTGAACTAGCATTGAGATTTCATCTCACTCTGGAAAGAATAGTTCTCATCAAGAAAATATCCACTAAGAAGTGTTGGTGATGCTGCAGGGAAAATGGAACACTGCTTCATTGTTGGTAGGAGTGTAGACTGGTGTGGCCACTATGGAAATCAGTATGGAGAATTCTCAGAAGACTAGGATTGGAAGTTCTGTTTAACTCAGCTATTTCCCTCCTGCGTATTTCCCAGAAAAACTGAAAAGTTTATGTCATAGTGATGTATGTGTCCCCATGTTCATAGCAGCACAATTTGTAATAGTTAAATCTTGGAAACAACCAAAATGCCCATCAACTGCAGAGTGGGTGAAAAAGACGTGGTGTTTTTATTCAATGGAATATTACTCAGCTATAAAAGGGATGATCTTGAGGCTTTCATAGTTAAATGGAGGCTACTTGAAACTATCCTCATAAGTGAAATAAATAAGAATTATATTAATAAATATCACATTGTGTCTCTAGTGTAAAAAGTATTAAGAATTGTAGGAGTAATAAAACCCAAAATGTGTAATTTCTATGGTAAAAAGAGGAAAAAAAAGTGCTCCAAAGGATGTAGCAGCATGTATGTTTAAGTGTGTGAGATAGATGATCATATTACTGAGTGTTTTTTGGATCGTTGAGCATAACTGTTTGCAGTCTCTCTATTTGAATATCCACTTTGAATATCCAATAGCCTCAATTTTGTAACTTGAACAACTATTTCTAAGATGACAGTATGTAATTAGTTATTTCCTAGAGTCTATTTTTTTTGGAATTCTGTATTGTTCCTACCCTTCTTTCTGCTTTGCTTTTTTTCCTCTTTAAATACAATTAAAAAAATACATTTAGCAAGTAGGGAGTACAAAGCTGATTGCAGGTTAATACATGATGGGTTATATGTATTAAGTCATATGTTGACAAGGCTTGTTCTTAGCAGGTTTACCTATAAAGAAGTGTTGTACCCTTATACGCTCCCATCAACAGTGGAAAAGCTTTCCTTTATCTCCACAGCCCCACCAGCAATTGTTATTGGCTGATTTGTTGATGATAGCCACTGTTTCTGGAGTGAGAAGGAATCCCAGTATTGTTTTAATTTGCATTTCTCGAATAGCCAGTGATGTTGAAACAACATAAATGTCTGTCAACCATGGAATGGATAAAAAAGATGTATTTTTATACAAACGAGTTATTACGCAGCTACAAAGAAGAGTAAACTTGAGGTTTTTATTTTTTATTTTTTTTGTACTGGGGATTGAACTCGTGACCTTGAGCTTTCCAGAGATATATGCCATTGAGCTAAATTCCCAGCCCCAACTTGAGTCTTTTATAGGTAAATGGATGCAAGTGCACACCGTACTCATATGTGAAATGAATTAGACTCACATGTGTAAATACCATGCTGTCTCCTTCGTGTAACTACTTGAAAGAGTAAATAAGATCCAAAATGTATAATAGATATTATGAAAAGGAAAAGAAAGTAAACTGCTCAAAAGGAAAAAGCAACTGGGATAGAAGAAAGGAGAAAATAGATAACTATACCACTAATCCCTGTTAGTTCATCAAAAAGAACAGTTTGTGCTTTCATTGTTTGATTGCTTAATCATTATTAAAACCTCTATCTTGTAGTCTACTTTGAAGAACAACTACTTTGAAGATAACAAACAACCAGCAATATATTAACCAGTGTTAATATTCTATCTATTTTGTTTTGAAATTATGTATCATCATTTTTATTATTTTTTTCTTTTAAAATAGTTAAAAACAGAATTGTTTATCAATGGCAGGCACATCCTGGGAGGGAGGGAGGAGGGCTCAAGCAGAGCAAGTGGAATTAAAGGCATCCTTGACTGGCCAATCTGTCCCAGACATGAAGTCTGTGAAGCAAGTCAGAAAGCCTATACATTTTTCTAAGGGGGCAAATACAGACATTACAGCTGGATGCAATCAAGTTGATTAGTTATCTGGGAGAAACAGCTGGGTGCAGACAGTCGAGGCTGGTGCAGACAGTTGAGGCTGATCTTAGCAGTCTAACTATGTGACAGGCAGCATGAGCACAGACACAGGTTAAATAACTGATTTTTGACTTCTGCGAATGCTATTCTATAACATTGCCCTCACAATCTCACGTCGGGCTGCTGATCTCTTTGGAAATCAAACAAAGCTACAAAGAACTTCATGCCCTAAATCCTACTGAGCACTGAACACTGAACATTTTACCCAAAGATCTGCACCCAGTATCAGAAGGTTTGAGAACCTCCTCCATGTCTACCCATACTGCAGATTAAAGGTCATGCCTGTGCAATGACCACAGGTGTCTAATCTTGGGAATGTGACAGGGCAAAGAATATCACCCTGACCTATACCTATGATCCTCTGTTCCCACAGGGAAGCGTATCTGTCTTGGAGAAGGTATTGCCCGTGCAGAATTGTTTCTCTTCTTCACCACTATCCTTCAGAACTTCTCCATATCGAGTCCAGTGGCTCCGGAGGACATTGATTTCACACCCCAGGAGCTTGGTATTGGCAGAGTGCCCCCAACATACCAGATTTCCTTTCTGCCTCGCACAATAGACTCAAGAGAGAAATAAAGACCACAGGGTTATTCAGTGCCCTGACTCTAGAGAAAGGTCCTTCACGTCCTGCACCTGAGAAACCTGTTGTAAACCAGCATCCTTCCCCTTACCTGACTCCTTGCAAAACTTTTTGTTGTAGGCTTCTTTGCACACTGTTGCAGTCCTTCTGATGTTCTGTGTTGTATTCCTTCCTCATGTGAATAGAGATGCCAACATTATTACTGCATCAACAATAATCACACCCTTTATTCAGTGTGTATAAAGAAGTCAGGAGTTAAAAGAGACAACATGGCTCAAGGTCATTCTGAAGTGCTGCTTCCCAGGATACGGCTCATGCTGAGTGAGTTTGTCCTTGCCCAAAACAGTCACTCTGCGTTTGTCAACTCCTTTTGCTCCATGTTTTGTAATAGAGGTTCTATGTAGAAATTCCCCTCTCAGTGGCCCCAGGTGATGGGTGCAGGGGTCATGCCCATGCTGTGGATGAATAACAGAGGTCAAGGAATGACAACAGCCGCCTGAGATCATGATGCCATGAGTGGAGGAGCAGATTCATACTGTAAATCTCAAATGCTTCATGACAGCATAGTTAAAAGATCAAATTCAAGTAAGATAAAATGGCCCATTGTATAGTGTACAGTTCAGTGCTGCTATCTAGTTTGTTAACAAAGTTGCACCTATATCACTATCTAGTTTCAGAAATTATTTGTCATTTTCCCCAAAAGCCATGTACTTATTAATTAGCCACTCCCTGATCTCCTAACCCCAGCCCCTGCAAATACCAATCTGATTTCTTTCTCACTGGATTTCCTTCTGGTCTGTTGGATATTTCATATAAATACATTTATTCAAAATGTGGTGTTTGTCTTGTTTATTTTTTAAGAATACTTTGCAAGTCTTTTTTGAAGTTCTGTGATGTTGAGTGTGATAACTCGGACCCCGGTATAAAATCCAAAGAAGCAAGACATTAAAATTTGAGAAGCAAAGGCTTTATTAGGTAAAATCCAGGCCTGGTGATGAGTCTCTGGGAGCCAATTTGGAGACTGCGCCCCTCACAGCTAAAAGTCAGGACTTTTTATCTTGTAAATCCACAAACAGCTGCTGGTAACACAATGTAAGGAGGGGGATGGCGTGTGATGCACTACAAAGCAGAAACGGCAATTGCAAGTCTCCCTGCATACTAGCAAGTTTAGATAAGAAGAAATCTTGTTTTTCTTAGCAAAGAATAGAGAAGCCTAACAGCAATTAACAACCTTAGTTACCTTACTTTAGCACCACAACTGTTCTATTTGTAGAGGGCAACAATAGTTAACATATCAATTAGGTAAGATTTTACAATTCTTTACAGAGGAGAGCATTGATTAACATATCAATCCTTTGCCCAGAGGGAAAGGAAAACACACATTTACAGTAAGGCCAAGTTACAGGTATTGCTATGATACAAACGAAGCTATTTTTGTGAAGAATGTACAATCTAATACAATCTAATGCAATTAACACAATTTGTGACGGGCTACCGGGTAGGGAAGACCCGAGTTGTCAGGAGCTATTACCTCAGGCCTTTGTTTTATGGCCTTTAGGAAGTTAAAACTTAACCTAGTTAGGCTTCCGGGAGAACATGGCGGACAGATAACAGCAACTACCGGAGGCTCTCTGAAAAACTAGGCTCAGAAGCCAGGTATGGTGCAGACTAAAGGGACATAAGCAGGTGGAGTTATGCTCTGCTGACTCAGGAACGAACTCGGCTGAGAGAAACCAACTTGGAATGCAGTCCTGGTGCTAAAACAGGAACAGAAAAGTCTCGCTGCTGAGGCTGGACCCTGCGCCATTGGAAGCCGCGATTTGGGTTTCCTGCCGTGCGGCGGCTACATCTACATCAGCTCGGCAAGGAGAGAGACGCGCGGAAACTCTGAGAACGTGAGTCTGCGAACGGAGTCGAAAACAGGACGGGCAGGGAGGCATGTTCTGACTTGTGGCGAGGTGAGTGAGAGAAACTGACACTCCACCACAGTTTGACTCCAGCGGACTTTCTGGGCCTGAGCAGTCCTGTGGGAGCAGGGCGCGCTGGCGACTCCAGCCACACATTCCCCTCTCGGGCGGGATTGGTGAAAAGTGCCTGGCCTGCGTGACGTTGCCGGCGGACCCCGTAGGCTGGCCCAACCCAGATCGCAGAGCCTGACGGAGGCCGGGAGGGGCGGGCCCCCGCGTAGGCTGCCTGGTGCGCAGCGGTGAGTGGGAACACCTAACCGGCGCAATTCGATCAGACTGTGGCTGACAGGGAGAGAAGCTGGGCCTCTCATATAAGCTTGCATATATAAGGAACAGCGAATATGGGAAGAGGCAGCAACAAGAAAGGCTCCTCGGCCCCCAATTCTGAGAAACAGGCAATAGCGGACACCACACCAATACACATAAAGCACCATATAGAGAGCCTCATAGACCAATTCAGGAATGAAGTTATCAACGACCTGAAGCTAGAAGTATGCAAAATAGTTAGAGAAATGCTAAGCCCCACCCAAGAAAAAACAGATGGTGGAATGGAAGAACAGAAAAAGAGGGGAGAATTGTTTGATGGAGAAAACAGGGAAAGCATAGAATACGTGAAGCAGGTTCAAAGGGACTACCAAGAAACTAAGAAGTCTATCGAAGACTGGCATAACAGCTTGAAAGAAACTAAGGACAGACTATCTGAACTGGAGGGCAGAATTGTAATATGGGAGAATGAAATGAAAAACTTCTTAAAAATAACAAAGAAACAAACAGCAATAATACAAAGACAAGAAGATGATAAGAGGAGCCATAACTTAAGAATTAAGAACATAAAAGAAGAAGTAGGGACACAAACAAATGAACTACAAAAGCTACTCACAGAAATAATCCAGGAGAATTTTCCTAATTTAGCAAAAGGTAAAGATACTCAGATGTATGAGGCATACAGGACCCCAGCTACCTACAACCCAAACAGAGCAACACCCAGGCATATAATAATAAAAATTCCAGAAATTCAATACAAGAACAGAATATTAAAAGCTGTCAGAGAAAAGAAACAGACCACTTACAAGGGAGCACCCATCAGAATTACAGCAGATTTCTCTGCACAAACCATCAAATCACGAAGAGCATGGGGGGAAATAATTCAAGCTTTGAAAGATAATAATCTCCAGCCAAGATTGAGATATCCTGCACAACTGTCCCTGGAAATTGATGGGAAAACAAGGTGCTTCCAGGATAAAGAGGAACTGGGGGAATTTGTAACCACCAATTCAACTCTACAGAGAGTATTGCAGGATATTCTAAAAAAAGAAAAATACAAAGAATCCAGAAATAGTGGAGGCCACGACTAATGGAGCAGAGAACAAAGTGAAGAAGACAAACTGACAGCTACTGACAGAATAAGAGCTCAACAGAAATGAGACAGAGAAGATTGGATGATAGGAACAGCTATTTTGGAGAAAATGACATCTTAGTAGGTAATACTGATTTAGTATCATCTTGTTTTGAAGTCTCATCTAGCTTTTGTCCTTCTGTCTCCAATGGTCTAAATAGGTTGTATCTTACTGGATTTTATTATGTACAATAGTATAAGCAAAAACCTTTTAAAGACAAGGAGATTATACAGAAACCATTATTCATTTTCTGTTAGTCGATTCTAAATACTCTGTAATGCTGTCATTCTCTTAAATGGTTTTACATTGTTTTGATATACTTAATGCTACAGTATACGAAGTTGTACTCAAGGATTTCAAGGAAAGAGACAATATGGTAACTACTTTTAGGTCAGGATTATCTGGTGGTGAAACACTATTCTGCTTAAATGGTTATGTTTTGATCTGTGCTGTTTCGTTGTTATGCCCTCTTTTATCTCAATCTCCACTCCATTATTTACTTTTTTAATACTTTTTAAAAAATTTTTTATCCTTTTAATTAAAGGAAAAAAATAGCAGGATATATTATAGTAACCCACTTTGACTTTCCATTACCTCGATTTAAAGCCCTGTATTACTCTCACCATCTGGTTTTTAACTGATGTTCCCCTATTCTGTTTTGCTGGATAGTATCAGGTTCGAAAATTTAGGCATCAGCTGTGAAGATAATGAGATTCATTATAACGCCCATTCTCGTTGACTTTTATCTACTTTTGAAGACCTACAATGTCTCCAATGGTTTGGCTTTGTCGGTTTTGTTCTTTACTGTTTTGTTCAATTGTATTATAACTAATGGTATAGGCAATTCTATTAGAGATAGCGGGAGGCATTATGGTAACCATTGTTGATCACCTTGTATTATGTTTTCACATTATCTATTATGTCCACCCTTTTGACTTGACCGATTCTGTTCTGTTATGTCACATTTGGTTTTACTCTCTTCCAAAAAAAGTAATAAGAACCGTGGGAGCAATGAAACCCAAAATGTGTAATAGTCATTGTACAAAAGAGAGGAAAAGAAAGTGCTCTAAACTATATAACTGCATGCATATTTAAGTGTATAAGATAGAATATGATATCACAGAGTTTTATTGGATCATTGAACAGAACTGTTTGCAGTATCACTGATGGAATGTCCACTTTACAAGCTTTAATTTTGTGACTTGAACAATTATTTCTAAGATGACAGCATGTAATCCATTAACTAGTGATTTCCTACTGTTCATTTTTTTTCTGCAAATCTGTATAACTTGTACCCTTTCTCTGCTTTTTTTTTCTTTTCTCCTTAAATAAAATTAAAAAAAAAATAAAACTTAACCTAGTTAGATTTGAAGGGAGAAGGGGAGGGGAAGCAGCAGGTGGGCTTATACCTTAGAACAGGCCTTAGGATAGTTAGGGGGGCTTAGGTTATAACATTGAGGACAGCTCTCATATGTTGCATTTTGCCTTCCTGATTCTCTTCCTTACCTTTCTGGCACTATCTTTCTTTTCATCTGTGTAAGGCACCCTCTGCCCCACCCTTGAGCTGTGTGATTCTGGATGGGTATCATGGATTTCTTCATAGTTTGCTTTAAATCTCTTGAGAATCAAACCTTATCTTATCAGGAGGTGATACCTGACATTTTTCATGTGATCTCAGTTGTCAGGTCCCCAAGACCTTTTCAAAGAGACTTCTTGTGGGATTATCTCCTACACCTCCATGGGAGCTCCATGAAAGGTCAACCTATTGCTATCTTTGCTGTTCAATTTTCAGCACCTGGAGATGAGTGTGGCATATGATAGCTGTTGAAAACATTTGCTGCTCAAGGAATGAAGAGATAAAAGTTTGGCTAAATCAGCTGACCCTTAACCTCATCCTTCCAGTGGAGCCAGACCTCTCCTTTTAGACTACCTTACATTCTCCACATCTCACTTCCTTTTGATATCAGAAAGAACTTTCTGGGTCCAAAGGGCTCAGTGATTCAAATCTGGCTTCTAATTACATGTAGTTGCTCATCCTGTGTGACATTTGCTTGTGAAGATGAACTTAGAGCCACCTTCATTATGGAACCAACCTCCACATATCCCGCCACAAGGCACTAAGGCACTTCCACAGAGTTATAACCATGGAGACATTCCTAGCCAGCCAGGTGAAGGGAGGCTGGTTTTGGGACTCACCCCTGATAGGCTGAACACTGGGCTTTTGCAAGACCTGTAAATAATAGGCTTCCTGTATCCTCTGGAGATGTTCTAGGATTTCTGCCAAGATAGATTCCTGGCACAAAATCCTGCACCAACCACATGCAGAAAACAACAAGCATGGCAGCCTGTCTTTCAAAGAAAACAGAAGCCTGGATGGCTTGAAGAGAGCAGACCCTGGTGCTGTCTGACTTTATTTTCTTCTTCATCCTGATTAGCCTCTTCCAACTCTGGATTTGGTTCTGCCCTACCTCC